TATCTATCTATCTATCTATCTATCTATCTATCTATCTATCTATCTATAAAAATGTGTAAAAAGCACAGAAAAGTGATGGTTTTCTAATAGTCAGCGGGTCTTTTTCCCATTTGAACATAAATTAAATTTAACATGAAAGTTCAGGACATTTTTCTTATCGATTCTAAACATGATTTCAGGTTTATTATTTAATTTGGATTTAAGGTTAGTTTAAAACAGGTTAAGGGTGCGTTGTACTTTCTGACTGATGAAAATCTAAGCGATCTCTCTTTACTCAGTGTGGAGAATCATGTCTCTCAAGCCTGCTGAAACCATAGAAATACTTTTCTTTTTCCATCAACAAACCTGTGAAGTCACAAGACAGGAAGTGGAGGTAATCATGATTCTGTTTTAGCCGGTACCTGCGTGTAGTGGCCCACGGGATTCCCGTTGGTGGACCCGTTGGGGTAGGAGTACTGGGCCACCTCACTGTGCCAGGCGTTGACCACCGTGGTCCACGGGAACTGGGAGGATGAGTAGAACAGGTTCTCCCCGGATTCATAACCTGGTTAATGGAGAGAGAGACGCTGTTTCAGCTCCCTGATGCCATTTAGATCAGTGTTTTTCACCCTTTTTTGAGCCAAGGTACAGTTTTTTCATTGAAAAAATCTCGAGGCACACCACCAACCAAAAATGTTAAAGAAATCTGTAGCCGCCTATAGTAACACTATAGATATTCTTATTTTATTCTTATCTTAAGTGTCTTGAATAGGAATCAAATAAACAAAAAAATGGATTTTTATCATATTTTATATTTCTTCTTTCAAATTGCACTTAACATGTCCATTTCAATATGCAAAATTATATACAAAATCTAGTCATAAGGAATTATTACATGATTACGCCACCAGTCACTAGTACAGCACAGACACTCAAAAATGGAATATTATTTGCAGAAAATTCTCCCAACATTTTTTTTTAGACCAATTAGGTGAAAAAGGATGATTTTCTACTGCACACCTGACCATCACTCACGGTACACTAGTGTGCCGAGGCACAGTGGTTGAAAAACACTGATTTAGATGATAATGGATTTTGCTCACAGACTTTTTGTTGTTAGAGGAAGGCTAACAACAAAACGACGAGAAAATGTTCGCACCATTTGACAGGGAGATCTTTACACCTAAAGTGGAAAAAGGGAAATGTTTGGGGCACGTGCAGAGTTCCTAAATCTGTTTGAGTCTAATGGAGTCTATCCGTGCAAAAGGATTATATTCACATCTGGGTGTTTAAATCCAGGTGTGACACTTGGTTTAATTTCAGATGGACCAACGTGTTTAAACGCATTTCATTAAGCTTTTCTCTGTAGTGGTCAGAAAGGGTGTTGGCAAGAGTAAAAGCTGAAAATGAGTCGTTTTTGGGTGCTTTACACAAACAGAGCTGGTTGTGGGAGGATTGAGGAGTTTAAAGGATAATGATCTTGGAATGGTCACCTTGATCCTCTCAGAAAATGTGAGCTGTGCTTCAGAATCTGCATGTAAACAGTAAAAATCCTGCCGGGAGGCCAGTATCCAACCAAGATATTCTACTGGGACTCTAAGGACTTTTTCTCAGCCTGTGTCAACTCTAGAAAACATTAAATAAATCAAAATGTTTTGATTTCTGACCATTGAAAAACAAGTATTCCCCTATTTGGATGTTTTCAATTACTAGAGTCCTGCTCATCTTGCTGAAAGGTAAATTTAGAAGATAAATAAAGGTTTAGAGTTATGTGAAACTAGTTGTGGGAGTATTGAGGAGTTTAAAGGATAATTAACTCTTTACAAGCTGAAGCGAGGTGATATTTAGGGAGAGGAAAACACAGTGGTTGGCAATCAGGGCCTGCAAGGCCTTCACTGCTGGCTTAATAAAATATCTGAATCACAGACTGATGTTCATTATATTTTGTCCATGAATACTTATTGAATATTTCCAAACGATCTGTCCGCTTCCTTTCATAGCTTTTCTCCTGGTTGTGCTGCTTCCAGACATGCATTTTCATATTAAAGCATTTAACCAATCACATTTCAGCCATCATTTGTTGCTAGGCAGAGTCAAAGTCAAAGATGTCTGCCTGGAGGCCTTCAGGGCCCTCTAACAGAAACGAAATGTCAATTAAACGGTTGTTTTAACCAATCAGATTTTAAGTTGGGGACACCAGGGCCCTCTGGCCCTCTGCCCTCTGATTGGATAGTCAGATAGCGTACCAGCTAAAGCTAGCTAGCTTTAGCAAGCTAACCGATTCGGGTCGAAATCCGACAGGGCAGGCTAGACTTTCAGCGTTAGCTTCAATAGAAAATAATTTTTGATGGAACTGAAGCGCTCAGATAATCTGTCTGACAGAGTAATGGAAGTCTTTTTGAGGAAAGAGAGGAGGATGGATTTTGTCTACAAATAATCAAAATTTTGGCTTTTTTCCTAAATAATATTGCGAGTTGATGAGGATATTATTGATGTTTTTGTAGTAGAAGACTTGTGCACCCCTGATCTTTATACTGTATTTCTACATAATAAGATGATTTTTATCACCATAAAATAGTTATTGAGGGGTGAACTGATTCAGACGGAGACCTACTGAAGGCCTTGGTGTGAAATCTTCCACTGGGAAAACAACAGGGGTAAAAAAAGGAATAAAGAAAAGCTCCACGCACCGTTGAGCAGGCGGGAGGCGGGGGGTCCGTGGGCGAGGACGCACTTATCGGCCCAGGCCTGAGCGGTGGCGGCCAGCTCCTCACTGTAGGACTAAGACAAAACATTCAGAGGTTTCAGTCCAAAACACAATCCATCAAAAGGTCTTTCATCTGAAACATGATCGAAATCGCTTTGATTTTGAGTGAAAGCAGTT